GGGCCACCTGAAGGTTGCTTGGGATATCCTTGGACATGGTCCAAATGCCCGGGGATCCCGGGGCCTTGTCGCTGACCATTCCGCCAACCTTGTTGCAAGGTGGCTACACGACAGCCCGATCAAGAACAAGTCTGATCACAGCACCTCCTTATTCAAAAGCATTTGATGTGGTTTTTACTTAATGGCTTGAACCGGTGACACCACTGACGCAATCATCATACAGTGTCCCTCCTCTTAAGAGTATCTCAGAATGGCCTAAGTTCCTAAAGCCTACATTATCTACATATTGTCTACATATTTCCTTCAACCCACCAGACCTTGGCATCGACACCTTCAACCCACCAGACCTTGGCATCGACATAGGATGCTGTAGCCCAATGAGCCAAACCTGAAGTCAAGTCCGTGCCGGGTCGTATGATTCAACCGGATTGTGTAGCACTTGGTGCCTGAAACATCAAGCAAAACGGGTTGATTTGAAGCGAACCTTCGCTGATGCCTATAGTTGCATACATGTTGGCTTCACATGCAAGCCTTTACAGCAAAAACACTGCAGCTGTCAAGATTTGAAGCGAAGTCAAGGTCTCTAGATGCATTGTCATTCATCTCATGCCACACTATCCCACCCAGAGACCAACCCCCGACTGGATCCCACTGGTACCAACTTCCAGCAATGCCATGATCACAAAACCAGCTGCTGCATTTCCAAACGAGCTGCTGCAGTATGCGCTCTGGTAGGTGGTGACTGTCATCACTGCAACAAGGACAATTGCCAGTCTGTACACAGCTTGGGCCCAAAGGACGCGCAGGAAACAAACATAAACACCAGAAGCGGAAAAAAAGCAACCGTCATCGAGCAAAGCAACTGCACATTTTAAATGAAAGCACCTCACTCATGCTCGATTTCGCTCACAATTCGCAACCTTTCATTTTTTTTGGTTGCAGTCGTCATCGTTAGTCCATTAAACTATTGCGTCAGTTTGTGGCGGAAAACGGACAGGTCGAGTCCACATCCCCTCGACCGGTGAACTCTAGGGCTTGGCCCTCACCTGGTCGCCTTCCACAGTGGGGGCCCCTATGGCAGCATCAGTGGTGACATGTGGTGACCTACGAACATTTTTTCATTTCATTGTTATGTTCCATATGTTTGTCACACACCTTGTCACCGAGTTTTCCCATATTTCCGTATTCATGTTTCCTCATATCATCTTTGCTAAACATAAGAATGCCAGGTCAGTGTTATAGTGATGGTCAATTGAGCTTGCATACAATTGCTTCTTTTGTGGGGGCCTACAGTCAAGCAGGTTCCCGCGCAAGGACTTGCCCAGCTGGTTGAGCTGTGGAAACGCCGTATGCCCCCGTCCGAATCAATTGCAAATTCATGCTATTTGTGTTTAGGATAATTAATAGGAACTCATTGAGGTTGACGGATCCCATCTCCACAACCATGGGTCGTTTTGACCGCTGCCCTTTTGTTGATCTGGACTTGCTCACACATCACAACGTGACCTTGGCTTACAGGAAACAGTTCAAGTGACCATGCTCAAACTCAGCACATCCAAGTACCCAGTCTTTTTGTTGCGGACTGGATTTGATCAAATACAAGGTCCTGCTCTCATAAACCAATATCTGCTACAGCATTCGGGGCCAGTCATAGACTTCCTTGCAGGTAAATTACTAAGTGAGATGAACACCACTGGATCCTGTACAAACTTTCCCAACCTGCCTGCACTTGCAATGAAAACCCTAAATTGTACTGTGCTCCAAGTACCCCAAGTACCCCAAGCACCCAAGCCTTACTCCATGATCTTGATCTGCTTTGGCAGCTTAAACTTGAAAAGCTTTCGGGTGGAGCCAAAAGTAGATTTCAAATTTAAAACTATGCACTCCCCGTTGATGTTCGCACCGCACTGAAATTCGCTGGATCTTGAGCTTTGAGGACCGTCAGTGCTGATCATTCCACAATTGGTGTTCAAGGGCCAGCGGCTCTAAGCGTAGTGGTCTGCCCAGTAAGAATCATCAGCCTCTCCATCGTCAGGTCGTAGCCCAAATGCCTGGCGACGGCGCCGCATAGAAAACCAGCCGAAAACTAGCACCGTCGGGAACTACAGGACATTTTAACTTTAGCTCTAAGAATATCTGAGAATCCAGTTCTTTCCAGTTCTTCAATGGTCTTCAATGTTCTTCAGCTCCTAAAGTGGCCAAGGATGATCAAATGGCTCAAATCTGGCCAATCTTCGGCCAATCTTCATCGGCACCTTCAGCAATGCCTCGTTCTTGTCACTGCCAATGGACATCGCTGCCACGGCCTGGACAGGGCCAGAGTCGAACAGAGACACAAACCTACAGAAAGATACAGAAACATACAGAAACGAGAAAAGTAATGAAAAGTAATGAAAAGTATAAAAAGAAAATATAGAAAAGTAAGAGCAATGAATTTAGTCTTGCGTTACTTATTCTGCCTTAAACTTTTTGCTGCGGAGGCAACTCTATTCATCTTCAGTTCTTTTCATCTCTAGAGATGAACGGAGAAGGATTGTTATTGCTAGGTCTGCTCTTGAAAGCTTCATACCGAAGTGGCTAGACCAATGTTTGTATCTGTTGTTGACATGCTTCCCGCGGCGTACGTAACGGTGCTTACATGTGCTTACACTGTTTGCCCTACTCTCTGCAAGTTCCTCCATGAATGTCATGTGTCAAATTCCGTGCTTGTCAGGCCTTGTCCTCTCAAATCATGTTTATATCGTTTCATATCGATGTGATCTTCAGCTTTGAGATCTTTGATGACAATGAGGATAAGTTGTTCAAGCCATCCTGTGTTTCAAGCCTTCTTCAGCCATGACTATGGTGGGAAGAGGTCAAATGATAAACAAGGGCTAGAGCCCACTTTGTTTAGCAGCTTAGCATGTTTCATTCAATTCACTCTTGAAACACTCATGTGGTGATTTTGCAGGTTCGACTGAGACAAACTAAACCAGCTGTCACCAAAAAATGTAAAAAAACGCTCACCACCAAATACCAACCGACCAACCCGGCTGACAATGGGCTGTGATAACATGAATAACCAAACTCCAAATGTGTGAATGGGATTTCATGTGACAAAAGAAATCCCCGCAAACCTCATGGAGTTGCAAATAGCCGTCTTCGTTGGAGTCAAAGACTTCAAAGGCCTTTCGGTCCACCACATCCTGAAGGATTCTCGCAGGATTCGCGCAGGATGATTTTGATATACAGTTCTGTCATGTTCTGTCTCCAAAGTCAGGTCCAGGTAACCTACGAAGCCGGCCTTGTGCCTTTGATACAATAAGACCTGTGCAGCAGCCTGCCAGGGCAAAGGAGCTGCAACACCGAAACCAAGATTCATCTGGATTTTACCGAATCCTCCACAAGGCGATAAGATAATTACAAAACATCAAGGGCAGTATCAAATGCACAATGTGAAGCGAGGACTGCTATCTTGTGAGGTCACCGGTTCATATCATGCTTCTGATACCAAAGTACAAAGCACACGGACACACATCATGTGTATATATATATAAATATGATATGTATATATATATATATGCACATACACATACACATGTACATATACATATACATACAAATATACATATACATGGTTGTAAATACATACAAACATATGCATGGGCGCGCACGTGCACACACACAGAGCAGGCACACGCACGTGTATGTATATATATATATGTATGTATGTATGTATACACCGAGATACATATTTTGGAAGTTACACGTTTTTTGGGACAAAGAATGCATACTCGTAGTCTCTCTGGCCTTCTCGGACTCACCGGAGAACTGAGTGGCCAGACCCCGCGCCGCATCCACAAAGCCTAACCTGCCAGGGATTCTATAGATACAATATGATATATTATTGCATTTTATGATGCATATAATATGATTTATATGGTACGTGTATATATATATATATGATATATATATATATATATGATATATGGTGATCCATGATGCATGCGAGATATGACTTAACATGGGTCATTTCAGACCCCATGGATGGCCCATGTTTGCTCCATGCACTGTACGTCGAATGAAAATCCGTCACTTGAAAGGGTTGTTTTTATGCTTTTTGGATCAAACATGCCCACACCAGCACTGCCCCAATTGCGGATGAGCAAATGAGTGGAATAACCGTGTAGCCTCTCAGACACAAAGAGCGAGAAGAAAATGCTCGCTTCCTGAGTGGTGACACCAGGGCAAATAGATGTATGGCATCCCTCCCCTGAGAGCCTGAGAGGAACAAAATCATTAACAAGGAGCTGCTGCATGCTACTACATGCTGCTACAGTGTCATGAAGTAGTCGCATTGATCTGTAAGCCATGGTCATTGGGAATGCGAGCAAGTTTCACAACTTCCGGATCAGTAGTCGGAGCAATTATAAACACACATAGAAACAGCATGAAACAGCACTGTATTGTTCTTGTTGTTCCCGAATGTTCCAAAGGTGTTTCCTTTCTTGGGAAGAGATCAGCTTGGAGGCAGATTCGACCAAGGCTCGGATTTTCCCAGGACTCCGTCACCGTCCTTGTCGTGTCGTTGGAATGCTTCCACAATCAGCGGAAAGAGTTTGCCTCAAATCAAGATAAATCAAGTGATCAAGAGCGAATCAAGCGGTGGAGACACTGTTGGATGATGAGATATTGATGGAATATTGATATAGGATTGATAATTGTTAAGCCTCCCCAAAAAAAGGCTTTCTATGAAGACACTCTCGGGACTCTTCATACTGATACACCCTCATCACAAGATTCACAAGAGCATAGTCTGGCATAGTAAAGCTCTGGCAGGTGGAAAAGGTGGAAATGTCGAAAACACGAATAGCGAAAACTAGCAGGAGCTGTGACTGATGATTCTGAGCAAATCTATTCAGTTCCGCTGTAACCGCTGTGAGCATGAAGTATGTGCCACTATGTGCCACTTCTGATTTCGTGCAAGGAGCCATTGAGCTGTCTGACCGCTTCCGGTTTGTTGATCAAGGTGGTGTCACAATGAGCTTTGATCAGCTGAAAATACCTCGTTGCAATTCATGACAGGTAGTCGCACATGCTGCAGCATGGGACCGTTCTGCATGGTTGATTTGGAGGCTATATCCTCTATATCGACCTGGTGGTATTGTTATGGCCAATCCCAAAGACTTTCCCCCCAGAGGCGTGCTCCTTTCAACCAAAGAGCCAACCGATCTCAGATGGACTAGGGGCTACAGGCAACAATCTCGACTCAATTTCTCAAGATTTCTCATACATACCCTCCAGTCTATCTGATACAAGGCGAATTGTGCCCCAATAGATAGGCTACACAACCAGCGGCAAGCCAACGACCAGTTCTTCCTTTCGTGCGAGCTTCTGCTGCAGAAACACTGCAGCTGTTCCATCGTCCAGCACGGGTGCCCCTGGCACAGCTCCTTTGCTGACACCTTTTGAAAGACCTCGAGAGCTACTCTTTCTGAAGTCACTCCAACGGAATACAAACACGGAAGCCAGGAAAAACAACCACAACATGCCAATGAGGTTTCAAGACATTTGTTGGACTGTGGACTGGAATGAAACGGCAAGCACTGAGCAATTATATACATTCATGCTAGTGGATAATTATATGAGTCATACGTCTGTTTGGCGTTTATGTAACCTTCTTAGGTCAAGACCATTCAAACCATTGATGCTCGTGGTAACGGTTCCTGCAACCCCACGTCTATTGATCTCTGATGATACTCTGATGTTCCCCAAAATGGCACAGCTTCCCTGCCTGGTACCTGCACCATGCCGGTCCAGCTAGGTGTACCTCAAGCCGATAGCAATAAGTGGACATAATTGGCACATTGGTTGCGACTAGTTGTCAAATGCCGTGAGCCTTTGAGGGTTTTGTTGCACAAACATTTTGAACGTCTGAGCCTGGAACCTTGAGAGTAGCTTACCGATTGTCCTGTCTGGAGCTCATTCCGCCTTTTTTACATGCGAACTCCCCAGATCCACTAACACGAATCAAAAAGCATAAGGCCATTCTGGGGTGGAACATGGTGGAACGTAGTTGAAACTGCCACTACATGCCACTACAATCCACTACATAACTTTCATTCTGTGCTGCATCATCTGGATCCACAGTTGCGATTGCACTGTTGATATCCATTGATATCGATATCGATAGCATGGCCTGTGGAGGACCTCACCGGCATGGGCATGTTGGACGGCACCGGGGAAGCACCAGCATAGGGCATCACCACTGGCTCTTGCGGAAGGTATTGTTGATACCTGGCAGACATTGGCAGACGGGATTGTAAGGGCTGCAGGCATCGTGATCCCTTGAAAAAATCTGAAATCGCCAGGAAGACCCCGGGCTGGCAGCATACATTTCTTCCTGGGAAGAATCAATCGTCGGAATAGTGACTTCAGTGGCGTTGTAACGAAGGCTCGCAAGGTATCAATCGAACTACAATACCACTGATCCAAGTCCAATATACTACCGACACACACCGATACTACAAATATCTACAAATCCAGTAAATCTACGCTGAGAATCAGCCAAGAGTCGCACGACCGATCCCGCAGCGTCAAATCCCCAACAATTCGCTTGGGCCAATTGGAATATCTGATGCACAGCATGTCTCAAATGCCATTGGAGGTTGTCTTTAGCCCTATTTCTGGTAGAACTTTTACAGATCTTGAATTGGCACGGGTGGGAAAGCAGCGAGTGCTTGCATGTTCAAGGTTGCAGAAACTACCAACCCAGCGTTTGCTTGCCAGCATCTGTAAATATGAACAATGCCTTTTTTCAGCGTGAAAACATGACGAATCCGCAACTGAATTAGTCCTGAATTCACCACACATTCTTCGGCGCAACGCGTCACAAAGCAGGATGTTCTCGTGATGATCGAATGTAATTTTAAATAGATTCAAACGGTGCCAAAATATTATGATGAAGGTGGCCGAAACCCATTGAAACCACGCATTACCTATCCTTTCTGTCATCGAAATTCGTCCCGAAATCTTGCCTAGGGCTAACTTTTTGTAGTCGATCACTGTCGGTTCGCCCCTCATGTTTTCCTTTCAGATCGATATGGCATTACGCCTCAGTTCCCGTGCTCTGCATCTGTTTGGCAAATCGTGGCGAGACCAGCCAGAATGTCGCCAGCCGGCGCAGCCACAAGCTCTATAACGAACCAAGACAACGAACCGTAACGAACCAAAGCAGTTGTAGATGGACTAAGTGGAAGTGAGCTGTAAGTGGAGAGCTATGATGGACTAAATGGCATGTGATGGAACTGTTACATACTGTTATGAAGTATTCACAACTGTTTTCAAATATTTTCAAACTGTTTCCCCAGGTTGGACCGAGGACACGCTGAGCATGCGACGCTCCGTGGGGACCCCAAGCCATGAACAGCCGCATCTGCCAGTCGAATGCACTGGGCCAAGCTCAAACGTGCAGTGTGCTCCTGCGACGCCGAGGTGTGAACATTCACCGAGGTGTGAACATTCACCGAGGACCGGGGTGTGAACATGTCATGTCCAGTGCTGGGGCGTCCAGCCGGAATCACAATGGAAGCAACACAATCTGATCCTTTTCAACCCTCTGCATGGGGAGCATGTGCTACAGTAAATGTACATATAATATAAGATCATCAGGTGTGTCCATTTAATCTGATATCTAATCCGCCGACCCCTGCCTAGCCTTGGCCTAGGCGGGGCAGCGCCTGGGATCACCGTAGGTGTGCGGCATGGGCTGTGCGTCCAAGTACGCTGCTTCTAGGCCCTGCAAACTGTTTCTATTGGGTTTCGAAACTGCTACGTGGCACGTCGAAACTGCTACGTGGCATTTAAGAGCATCAAAAGCCTCAAAAGCTCAAACTGCAGCTTTCGAAAGCTCCTCTATGCGGCACCATCGTACCTCCCTAGGGCCCGACAAACTGTTTCTATTGGGCTTCGAAACTGTTACGTGGCACGTCGAAACTGCTACGTGGCATTTAAGAGCATCAAAAGCCTCAAAAGCCAGCTTTCGAAGGCTCCTCCATACGGCACCATGGTACGCCCCTAGGCCCCACAGACTGTTTCTATTGGGCTTCGAAACTGCTACGTGGCACGTTTTGGCACCCTTTAAAAGCCTCAACACTCAAAACCCTCCACAGAAGCTTGTGCGGCATGGGCTGTGGCTCCACCTGTGCCTGGTTTGGCATCCAAGTACGCTGCTTCTAGGTCCTGCAAACTGTTTCTATTGGGTTTCGAAGCTGCTACGTGGCACGTTTTAGGCACCTTTAAAAGCTTCAAAAGCTCAAAACCCCTGCTGCAGCGCCGAACCAAGGCCGCGTGTTTTTGTTTTGGGCTGGATCCTATGTGGATATAGCATGAATATTGAGCACATCATTGCAAACTCCTACGTGGCACGTTTGAGCGACCTCTGAAAACCCAAAAGCTGAAAACAATCCTTGCAAACTCCTACCGCAATGGGTCCCGCAAACCTCTTTGTATCGGGCTGGAAACCCTACGGACACGGCCGTGCGGAACGGGAAATGGCTGCGGCACATCCACTCCCAACCCCACATAAAAGGGGGCCGGCGGCACCTGAGCGACAGCCCATTCTATTATACCACTGTTCTGTGTTTCAAGATGTGCAGAGGTGCGAGTGGACAGCCTGTCCGATTTCAACCGATCCAAACCTCATCAAAGCGGGCATAGAGCTTGTAAACATCGCTCTCGCTTGGCGGAGCGCTGCCTCAGTGAGTCTCTCTTGTGCGGGGCCTTGCATTTTAGGTGCCACTGATACTGCAAATCATAAACATTCATAGGCAATATCAAGAATCTATTTGTGCGACCCTCGGGCTGAAGACTGAAGGTGCCTACGCTCACCCTACACGCAGGGGTGGTCATCTCGTCTTCAGGAATGGCTTGTGGGGACTATGCGCACAATGAACTGGCCATCAACATCCAGCAACTATTGCGACAGCCAAGGGGCCCAATGTTCGAAAAACCATCACCACGAAGTGCTTGACCTACATGCAGAAGGGCAACCCCTGGAATTCTAAATCTTTGCATACATGCTGGTTCAAGACCTTGGTGAACAAAGCAGGTCACGTCGAGACTTTTGGTTGAAAATTGTTGGATGGAAGCCCCTGCGTCATCAAATGGAAAGATCGCGACGGAGACCCCTCAGACTGCCTCTGACCAAGTCAAATATCCATGGTTGCCCTGATCACACGCTGCAAAGGCTTCACGAAACACCTAGCCAAAGCGACGCGTACCGACACTGACTAATCTTGGAAGATGTTTTTTGGCCCTCCAACTGCTCACCAGGTCTCAACCCCAAACCGTTTAAAACCATTTAAATAGACTGTGATTGGCATGTTCCAACAAACCCTTTGATGACTTGATTTTTCCCGAATGCGTGGCAAGGGTTCCCGCTTCATTCTGGGGGTCTGGGGGTTGAGGGTTTGTTCGCTCGACGTTGCGTTTGCGTCCGCAACCGTTCGCAACCGTCCGCAACCGTTTGCATCCGTTCGCGTGAAGGCTACATGGCCGCGCCTATGGCGTTCATTTTTAGAGGTTCCAAACGTCGCGTAGCTTCGTTTTGCGTGGCAAGCGTGGCATTTTGTGACATTTCTACATCTTTCATCACTTGTCGAAAGTCGTTTTGTATGGCATGCGCGTTTTCAGAAGATGAACTGCATTTTTCGTGGCAGGCGCAGCGCGTTGGAGACCACCATCGTCATTTTGCGTGGCAAGCGCAGCACTTCAGACGCGTCGAGCTGCATGTCTTTTGCGAACCGCATTGTCAGGGCTGCGTCAAATGGTGACAACGTGCAAATTCCGTGGCATACTTGGCATTTTGTGACATCGCATGAAACATCGATTTTGAAGTAGCAACTCTTGAGGTTCATGAGAAAACCCTCGGACAGTGTCGACATTGGAGCTACAAAGCATGACAATTTGAGGAAGTCTCGCACGAAACGCTCTTTTTTGAGCTTCCAACATGTCTCGTCTTCATGCTCTGGCTTTCTTGTGGCGTCGCCGTGCCATGGGGGAAGCCGCAACACCTATCATTTTCGAAGGTTTTCAAACATGTACCAATGTCGTTTTGCGTGGCACTCACGTGTCTGCAAATGGTGTCGAAATTCGTTTTGCGTGGCAGGCGCAGCACTTTAGACATGTCGTGTTGCCTGTTTCTTGCGACTTGCAAAATGTCAGGGCGGTGTCACGTGGTGACAACGTGCAAATCACATCGCGAGCGTGTCATTTTGCATGGCAGGGGCGGTATTTGGCGCAGATCCGCTGTGTGTGGAATGTTGTTTTGCGTGGCAAGCGCAGTATTTAGGACACTCTACATTGTACACTTTACACTCCACACTCTACACTGGACACTCCACACTCCACACTTGACGCTCCACACTCCACACTTCACACCCGGCACTTTACTCTTTAAACTTTACACTTCACCCTCTACACTCCACACTTTACAATTTACACTTTGCACTCCACACTTTACACTGTACACTTTTACACTTCACACTCGGCACTTTACACTCCACACTCCACACTTTACCTCCGCACTTTACAGTTTACACTTCGCACTCCACACTTTACACTTTACACTCCACACTCCGCGCTATAAACTTTAAACTTTAAACTCCACACTTTCCACTTCACACTCCGCACTCTACACTCTACACTTTACACTCTGCACTCTACACTCCACACTTGACACTTTAAGACTCCACACTTTGCACTTTACATTTTACACTTTACACTCCACACTTGACACTTCACACTTTACACTCCACAGCCTACACTTACACTCCACACTCTACACTTTTCACTTTACACTCCGCACTTTACAGTTTACACTCCGCACTCTACACTTTACACTCCATACTTTACACTTTTCACTCGACACTCCACAGTTTACACTCCGCACTCCACACTTGCACTCCACACTCTGCACTTTTCATTTTCCACTTTACACTCCACACACTTTACGCTCCACACTTTACACACCACACTCTACACTTTGCACTCCACACTCGACACTTTACACTCCACACTCCACACTTTACACTCCACACTCTACACTCCACACTTTGCAGTTTACACTTCGCACTCCGCAGTTTGCACTCCACACTCCACACTTAACACTCCGCGCTATACACTTTACACTTTACACTTTGCAATCCACACGTTCCACTTTACACTCCGCACTCTACACGCTACACTCCACTTTTCACTTTTGACTCTACACTTTTCACTTTACACTCAAACTTTACACTTTACACTCCACACTCTACACTTTACACTCCGTACTTTACACTTTTCACTCCACACTCCACAGTTTACGCTCCACGCTCTACACTTTTCATTTTACACTTTACACTCCACACTTTCCACTTTACACTCCGCACTCTACACTCTACACTCCACACTCTACACTTTTTCTACACTTTACACTTGAGACTGTACACTTTACACTCTACACTTTACACTCTACAATCGACACTTTACACTCTACACTCCACAGTCTACACTCTCACACTTCACACTGTACTCTCTACACTCTACACTCCACACTCTACGCTCTACACTTTACACTCTACACTTTACACTCTACACTCTACACTTTACACTCGGCACTCCGCAGTCTACACTTTACACTTCGCACTCCCACTTTACATTTTAGGTTCCGCTTCTACACTCCGCACCCCACACTTTCCCGCGCTTTACACGCCACACTTTACACTTTACACTCCGCACGCTACACTTTACACTTTCCACTTCACACTTTACACTCCACACTTTACACTTTACACTCGGCACTTTACACTTTACACTCCACGCTTCACACTCTACACACTACATGCCCCACTCGACACTCCACTTTCTTCACGCGCTGCGCTTTGCACTCCACGCCATTCCACATTCCACAGTCTACAATGCACTTGTACAGTCACAGGGGGAAAATCTACAATACTGTTCGAGCATTTTTTCCCACAAAAGTGGTCTACGTGATTGCATTCGGGTTCGTGGGCTGCATCTGTTTTTTCAAAGATAATTTGTTGGTGGACTTGTGGCATGTTAGCACATCATGCACTTTGGTGGTATATTGCGGCGCGTGGTGGATAGTTTGTGCTGGCAGTAGCAGGTTGCTGGCATTTGCTCTGAACATTGGCTTGGCAGCCCAGGCGCCTGAATAGTGGCATCTGTGGTGCCGACAGGTCTGGCGACCTGAGCTGCTTGCGCTGCCTGCGCTGCCTGCGCTCATGGGAATCCTTTTACGGTAGCCCGTGTAGTCGTTTACCAAAGAATCCTGGTGGCAAGTGACTTGAGGCTTGACCTTCGGTTGCGTGATCCCCCATGATTCCCCCATGTCACATTTAGAAAATGTTCGGCATATCCAAGAAACAACGGAAGCAAATGTGTCGTCTGCACAGCATTAAACGCCCTCACATTGATCACTGCCTGCGATGGTACGCTGCCAGTCTTCTCCTCTTGGCCTACCACGATGATTGTGCTAGCGATGGTCCCAGAGCCATGTCCAGACCGGACAAACCCAACCCCCTAAGCCACATGGTTATGTCAAGCAAGTGCACCTATGTGTGGCACACAGTCTGAAATATACCAGTAGTACCGCACAAGGCAATGGCGGAAGTTTCAAAAATAGGAAACCTATCGGGGAGGTTGTTTGTTGTGAATCACGGCTGGCAGAGCGAACCCACTGATGGACCGAAAGGTGGTTGGAGTTGTGTTTTTTGGGGTGGTTGCAATGTTTGCAGCGGTCACCTCACCACAACTGCTGGATGTAGTGTGGTGTAGCGCAGTTGTAGTTGTAGTTGTAGTTGTAGTTGTAGTTGTAGTTGTAGTTGTAGTGTAGCGTAGTGGAGTTGTAGTTGTAAGTTGGAAGTCGTAGTTGTTGTAATGTTGTGTAAATAGTGTAGTGTAAATAGTGTAGTGTAGTGTAGTTGCAGTTGCAGTTGTAGTGGTAGCGTAATGAAATGTAATTAGTGTAGTGTAGTGTTGCGCAATGTAGTTGTAATTGTAATTGTAGCTGTGGTGGTAGTAGTAGTAGTAGTAGTAGTAGTAGGAGTAGTAGTAGTGGTAATAGTAGTAGTAGTAGTAGTAGTAGTTGTTGTTGTTGTTGTTGTCGTCGTTGTTGTTGTTGTTGTTCCCTCGGACCCTTTGTTACCGCGCACCGTATTATGTTTTTCCTACTTTTTCCTCTGTTTTTTTGCTGTTTTTTCCCTTTTTAATTGCGCAGAAAATACAGGATTTTTTGCGGTGCTCTTCTGGGTGGGGGTTTGGGGGTTGGGGGTTTGGGGAAAGGGTGGTTTTGGGGGGGGGGGTGGGTTTTCGTGTCGGGGGGGGGGGGGTTTTGGGGGGATTTTTGGGGGGGGTGGGGGTGGGGGTGGGGGGGGCATAATAGCGTTCGTGTGTGTGTGTGTGCTGTCGTTTCGCGCCTTCCCTTTTTTTTTTAACGGTTGTAAGCGTTTTTTTTTCTCTGCGCCAAGACGTTTTTTTTTTGTCTGGCGCGTCTGGTTTTGTTATTGTCCGTGCTGCTTGGACCGTGTCCGTGTCCTTTGTTTTTTTTTGGGGGGGTTTTGAGGGTTTTGGGTTTATGTGTGTTATATATGATATATTTGGTATCTATGATATCTTTGGTATACATGATATCTTTGTTTATGATATATTATATATATATACACACGTATATATATGTGTTAAATATGATATATATCTATATATATATGCTATCTATGATATCTATGGTATATATGATCTCTATGTTGTTTTTGATATATATGATATCTCTGATACATATGATATATATGGTATCTATGTGATATGTATATATATGATATATATATATATATGATATACAGGACCGAGCAGGCCAATTGGGCCATGATCCACGCCACATGTTTGATTTGGACAAAGATCAAGCGTGGCTGTGGACCTAGTTGCGAAACAATGGCAGGCGTGTGGAAAAAGGCACTGAACGCCACCGTGCCATGGGGATTTTGTCCCTTGCCGGCGCGCGGTTACAGGGCGTCCGACCGTTGTTGTTGTTGTTGTTGTTGTTGTTGTTGTTGTTGTTGTTGTTGTTGTTGTTGTTGTGTAATTAGCGTGGTGCAGTGTAATTAGATGTAATTAGTATTAGTGTAGTGTAATGTAATTGGGGTAATGTACTGTAGCGTAGTTTATTTGCATTTGTAGTTGTAGTAGTAGTGCCAATGCGTTTTCCGATTTTCCATTCCATCTGTCTAAAGTACTGCGCCTGCCACGAAAAAGTGAGGCCAGGTCATGTGAAGTGCTGCACCTGTCGCGCAAAATCATCTTAGCAAACCTGAAGATCTGATGCTCCAAAATGCAACCACTCTCAGGAAATCAGCGCCCGGACCTCCTAACATCTGATGAACATGTCTCTTGTACTGCGCCTGCCACAGAAAATGCATCTTTGCAGATCCTCTTCAAATGTCCCACGCCTGCCATCGTTTTTGAAAATGCTACAAAACCCGCACGTTTTGCATCGTTTTGCTCACTTTTGACAAGGTACACAATCCCTGGCGCCTGCCACGCGAAACGACATCTGAACGTCCAAAAATGCTCCGTACCTCGCACTTTTTGCACTTTTGACCTGGAAATATGCTTCGCGCCACAGCGGCGTGCACTTTTTCGACATCTCAACTTCCAAAAGCGGTCCGACACCGAGGTGTTTTCTACATTTTGACTTGGAAATGTGCTTCGCGCCACAGCAGCGTCCACTTTTTCAACATCTCAACTTCCAAAAGTGGTCCGAGCATGGTGTGTTTTGTACACTTGGACTTGGAAATGTGCTTCGCGCCACAATGGCGTACACTTTTTCGACATCTAAACTTCCAAAAGTGGTCTGAGACAGTCAGTTTTTGACACTTTTGACTTCGAAATGTGCTTCTCATCTGGCCAGATGGCTCCGAGCCTACTTTTCGACCCTCCAGAGCCACAAATCATGGGAGAAACACAAGTGGATCGCGGCTTTCCCACCTTTTCGTGCACCTGCATCTTCTTTCTTCTCACTCTTTCTCTTCTCTGATCTTCTCTCTTCTTCTCCTCCTCGCTGACTCTTCCCACCTCTGCTTTTCCATCTGTCCGTATTGTCGGAAGTTTGACTTGTAAACTTCCTTCGATAACCAAAAGAAGTTTAATTGGAAAACTTGCGGACGGTTGTCATGGTTAGGATTTCCGCCATCACGTCAACCACATCATCACATCAACCACCCACTATAAAGTAGTTGGGAAGTGTAGGGAAGCGTGTAAATTCACGGGTGAAAACACTCTCGGGCGCGAAACCCTGCGTTTTTTCAGGTAATGTGGCTCCTGGGGTCGCCGAAGTAAGGCCTCTGTTTCCGCAGTCGCGGGCCTCAGTCTCGGAAAGTTGCCAACAAAAAGCGCCCAGAACTGTGATAAAAGGAAAATCGAAAGCCTCTTCAACGGAAAGGGCCCGCTTGCCACACAACATGTGTGCTATAGCCCACCATGAGCTTGCGAAAAAAGCAAGGGATTTCGTCAAGACTATCACTGGCACGCTCTTAAAAATGGAAAAATACTCATCAGGTATCAGCTCTTAACGCAACCAGATCAAATCTTGGGCTGATACTATCCCTGCAGATGTCAAACGCGCAGCTAAAAACCTTTTAGCTACACACAGAAAAATGGACATTTTTTTGCCAATACTGGCATCGCGGCCAAAAAACCCCAGCCAATTCAAGAAGCGACCAGCAGAACATATTGATTCAAAGAAACCCTATCAAAACACATGGGCCAAAATTCAGCCAAACATAACCAAAAATTTCATCAAACACTTCCCTGCTGCCGAGCCCCTGAGTAGCGGACCTGGCAGAAGACGACGTGCAAAAAACTTGTCAAAGTGGTATTACGTGGCTTAGGGGGTGGAGACCCTCAAAAAGCCGTCCCTGTGTGAAACCGTGCTTTTGCTTCGCAGAAACAAATCAAGGTTGAATCATCACCAAGGAGTTTTCAAAGCGACCAACAACACATTCCACATCAGAAAAAAGAGTGGGGGTGGGCAGCAACTCACCCTTCGGCACCCAGGACAACGCCCAAACCTTGGAATGTTGTCTGACGAAATGCCAAGGGAAATTAGCACGATAAACAAGTGCCACAAAAACCTCCCATAGCGCTTCGCGCAGTGCAGCACGCGAGGTGGAGAAATACCAGGACCTACACAACAAACCCCTTACAGCTGTTTTAAACTGCTGTGGGGGTGCCCATGACTGCCATGGTTTGAGAGGAAAGTTGTCAGTTTCCCCATAGCAGTGGGCAGCCCAGGGATCCGACGTACAGGGCCGCAAAGAGATATATGCACCATCCCAAGCAACCTGCAAACCTGTAAAAACATTGTCATCCGCTTTATCCAAGGACATCGTGCCAACAACAAATCGCTGGCGCCACTGTACCCATGCCCAGGATCGGACAACATCAGGCGTAAGTGCCGAGCATGAACGCCATGCAAAAAACATGCGAAGATCATAACGGTACGAAACATCTAGCACCAAAACGTTAGACTGTAAAAGGTGCAGCAGCTTACACTTACTGGCTGGTATTGGCACGCTTTCAGCGACCGCAGCCACACCACAGTGGAATTCACGGTGCCATTTCCATAGCCTCAGCAGCGCAGAACTCAAGGCATCTCCTTGAGGGGCACCATGCTGTTCACGACCTAACCACGAACCTATGGCAACGTGATTAGTGGTTGCAAAAGCCAACAAAATCTTACGAATTGATGCGAAATCTATACAGGTCCAACCAGGGTCATCACATCGACCAAGGATACCACGACAGCCTAAACGCTTGTGGGGGACACTAACACAAGAAAGACCCAGCCCTTTCCAGTAAGCAGCCAGACCATCCCACATGTCGGCAAAACGCTCACAAGGAAGATGCCGGAAACAATCCTTCATATCAGCGGCAGCTGTACAACCAACATCAAACTGATAATCCTGAACATGGAGATTAAAATCACCGACCAAAGACACCACTTCACCCATGGAGAGGTAGTCACTCCATAAATGCCGTGGGAAACTATCCAAAAGAATGTCTAGACCCCGTGAAACAAGCGAATGCAAGCCACAACACGGGGTGTAGTGCTTGTTGACCATAAGTCGCCACTTCAACCCTGGACATTTCCATTTTGGCAAAAAAGAAACTGTGGCAATGCACCACTGCCTTTTAGAAACGACAGTGTGCAAACCGGGAATCAAATGTGAAGGAAGGTCTGACATGTTAGCCATGCCACTCAGCACATCCCGCTGACGACCAATATCCGAGACCGACCAAGCAAAATTCGCATCAGGTTTTTGATGATGCAAGAAATCCAATAACTGACAAGCATGCTCAAAAACCAACTTGGGACAAAAAACTCCCAATGAAGAGGGGTTGTGGTCAAACACAGAGACGAAAACACCCTGCGCTTGGAGCCACTCCCTTGCTTCACCAACGT